ACTGTTAATTCACCCAAAACAATGCCCAAGGGCCAATCACTGTAAAGGGTTACTGAGCGAAATTGTTTTTGAAGTAGATAGGTTCGTCTATCGTCCGGTTTACACTCCTCCCCAGTCTTTTGAACAGAATTAGAGTTTTGCCTCCTTTTTTTCTTTTTTAGGATAGGGTTTCTGGCTTCTTCTCAAGTTTTTTTTCATTTTCTTTCACTTCACGTAACCCCTTGTGTCTTAGTGGCATTATCGCCTTGTTTGGGGTAAGAATCGGGTAAGAGGAAACATTATGTGAACGTGTAGGATAAATGTCGGTTCAACCTGAACATGAAGGGACCAAGATCTTAGTTGTCAGCGAAGCATCCTCTTGCAGAATTTGTTCCATAAAGCACCAGTCCTGAAGAAGAAGCTGAGTTGAACTTACTCCCTAAAAAAGTTACACAAACGGAATTGGGATACTTTTTCCACTGTGGACGTGGCATGACGTTTACTATATTTGAAGTTCTGAACTGATGGAACTGAGGAATGTAACACGTCCTAATATATGTCACAGTAATAGTGATAGAGGAAAGAGAGTCTAGCAACGTTTCATCTCTGGGATAAGGCTTTCAGAGTGTAGAATAATTCATAACAAAAAAGGCTGCGTAATCACCTTTAAACTCTTACGACGCTAGAGAGCACCCTGACAGCTATAATATATATATATATATATATATATATATATATGTGTGTGTGTGTGTGTGTGTGTGTGTGTGTTTGTTTGTCTCCGTGCGCATATGTTTCGGTTGTAAAAAAGCGTCTGTTATTGATAACTAATTTTTATCCAGTGATCAAAATATCTCGCTGTTTATTGTCCTACCGGCGGGTCTAGAGTGTTTCGCCTTCAGACCAGTAAAACCACTGCACACAAAGGAGCACCTTCAGGTAGATGTTTGTAAAATCATATATAAAGACATCCAATATTTACGCATAGGCTCGCGTATAAACTCGAAAAAGTTTACCTATAAACTCAAGTATAAACCTATTCATTGCTCATATTTTCAGTTGTTGGTATTCTTAGCATCCGTAGGATTTCTTTGATAACAAAGAAAAGAGTACTGAGTTGTTACATGGCATCTTTCCTCCTTTACGGCAAAGAATGTTAGACGGTCTCATCAAAGATGAAGCAGAGACTCGAGGCGACGGAGATGTGGTTCTACAGAAGAATTCTAAGGATATCAAGGATGGAGCGTGTGAGCAACGATGAGGTCTTGGAGAGAATGCAAAGAAGGAGACGGCTTATACTTAACATCAGAAAGAGGCAGCTGAAATGTCTGGGAAACGTAATGAGAAAGGACGGCCTAGAGAATCTGATACTCACAGTTCGAATAGAGGGAAAGAGAGACAAGGGAAAGCAACGCATGATATACCTGACGGGCTTGGATGACAGAACTTGGTCTGGGGGAGATGGCAGACGAAAAAAACTTATTGAGAGCCACAAGAGATAGGGGGGTAGAGGGCCATGATCGCCTACGTACTGAAAGGACATTCTACATTAAAAGAAAAAAGAAGCACAAAATCTGTGTTACTTCCAGCCTCTTCTACATTTGTAAATATAGTTTTCATACTAAAAATGTCAGAAATAAATCTTTCTGACGTCTATAAATATATAAACTTCATAAGTTATATATATATATATATATATATATATATATATATATATATATATATATTTTCAATTAAAAGGTGCAATTATAATTTATAAATTCATGAATCATTCATAAAAAACAAATATAGAGGTTAATGATTTAAATCATTAACCTCTATATTTGTTTTTTGTATGAATGATTCATGAATGTATACATATATATATATATATATATATATATATATATATATATATACCTTCATAAGTTGTAAAGTAGAGAAAGTTTGGCAACTATGGAGTCAGTTCCGTTTAGGTTCAGATGTTAAAGACATTTTCTGGATCTAAACCAAAATTTCTTCGATATCCTTTAGGGTTTTTTTTTTTTCCCATCACAAGTGGCTATCTTGTCAAAGCAAGATAAGCAAAATAAAATAAAATGGCATTTTTCAATGTGAGCCAAGAAGAAAAAGCTTCGTTTTTCAACGCTGACTGATGTTCGATTCCTTAATTTCACGGGGACCCATTTTCCCAGATTCTTACTTTTCCTTTAGGTTTGTAAAGAACATTCTTATTGCAGTTAACTGAACAAATCCTCAAGGGCTGAGGGACTTATAAAGACTCCCTCAACTGCAAACATACACGCACATTATATATATATATATATATATATATATATATATATATATATATATATATATATATATATATCGTGGGCTCTCTCGTTGTTGATGGACGCGGGCTGTTGACAGCAAGACAACCTGAACAAGTGATTTGATTATAGTGGTGAATGTTTTGTGCCGAACCCTCCACACTTTTTGAAGTGCCGATTACAGAGACTTAGTGCACTAAGTACCACAAGGTCCCCCAAACAGCCCTCCGCAGGTTTTGAATTCAGAGTTGTCCTTCTCCTAGACCAGTTGCCATCCAAGTGTATAGAACCTATTCTCTCCTGCTATTTATCCATAGCTGGGGGGGAGAAGAAGAGGATTCATACGTTTGCCAAGTGTATTAGCACGTAAGTGCAGAGATATCGTTATTTCTTAGAAAGTTTTTCTTAAAATCGCTTGATAATGGAACGATGCTCTGTATTGTGGCTTTAATTTTTTAAAATTAATCCAGATTGGAGTTTTACGATTTGAAAAATAGGATGTTCTGTGTCGCGTTAGAAAAAAAATATTTTTTTAAAAATAATTATAATATTAAGCTCTACGTATCGTATTGAACACTGTTTTTTTAAAAATAAAAATAAAAGCTAAGAACTCTGAATTATAAATATCACTGTTCTTTCTCATCATTTTAAATATATATATAATATATATATATATATATATATATATATATATATATATACATAAACCATATGAGGTAATCTTGGATTTTGTTGTGTAATATATATATATATATATATATATATATATATATATATAAAAACGTGTGTGTAAGATGATAAAAATAAGCAAATTTATACATAGATTTGTGTGCGTGTGTATGTGCGCGCGTGTACATATTTTTGACAGTAATCATGGGGAAGTCATTAATTGTCGATATAATAACTCCAGACTCACCATCATTAATTATCCATTCAGTATATGTTGCTTCTGTGGTTACCTAGCTAATCGTCGAAATCATTATTACACCAGTATGTACAGTTTTCATTGGGTGTGCCACATATGTAGTCTTGTAAAACGCTAAGCTAAGCATTATGACTACAGTACGTTCGATCCTTACTGATTATGCCACATAGGAAGTATAGTCCAAAAATAAACAGTTTAAAACACACACACACACACACACACACACACACACACACATAAATATAGGTACCGTATGTTTAACATTTTTGTAAAGCCATCATTCTTCAAGACAGGCAATCCTGCTTTTCGACATTACCTTTTCCTTTATTATCTGTAAATTGCCATTTTTTCTAAACGGTTTCGAATTCAGGGACAGTTTTGAATCGTAGACTGACTGTACCTCAGAACTCTAGGGCTCTGCCTACTGTCAAAGCTCTCATTGGTTTGGATGAGCATATGATCAATTACCATCGCACTGTCTTGGTGTAGAGAAGTGCCACTTGTATATTCGTTGCTACTTCTATCTTCTCTCACGACAGATTAACGGACCAGGTTTTCCTTTTGGTCAGCGAGAACACTGTCTCTCTCCGTTTGACTCAACACCTTTTCTTACTATAACCAAATTTCCGTTACTAAAATACGGCCTGAGTATCTAATCCGCCACCGGAATTCCTTACCTTCCGGTCAAGTAGAACTTGATCCTAACTACATTTATATTTCCTTTTTTTGGAGAGCGGGTGGTAGATTTGAAACTCTCACATCTTAATTTTACTGACGACGCAGTCGGTAAGTCATAAAAAATTGCCTTTCTCTTTAGACCGAGATAAAATCACTTTCAGTTCATTAAACTATGTGACTGTCCTAATTAATCTAACAGGCGGCCATTGTGTCGCAATAATGACTTTTTTTATTTATACAAACATAAGAAGCAATTAGAAGCAGGCTTTATTGCTTGTAACAGTAATTCTCAAAACATTTTTTATTCTATCATCCTATTTACAACTGATTACTATAACATTTATCCCAGAATGTAGGCAAAGTATTAACAAACAAGAAACTTATGTTAGAAACAAAGGAAAGAATGCTGAACTGTTATGTAACACCAGTTCTTCTCAAGAGGAATGAATGCTGGACAATTTAATTTAATGTTAGAGTAAAATTTTAAAGTTGGAAAAACTAATTCAGAATGAGAAGCGTGCATATCTAATACAAATTTTGATCTTAATAAATTCAGGGTGGTAATATTTCTCAACAGGGGTTTTAACAAACGTGTGGTTGGAGAATAGTTTGAAGGTAAAAATGTTGGAATAAATAAAGAGGGTAGTCTTAACCCTTTGATCCCTGTGTTCCTGAACAATTTTAACCCTTTTGTCTTAGCTCCTGAGTCAAAATTCTCAAATAATTGGTATGTAATGATTCACAGTAGATAGTTACAAGTGTTTACCCAGTGTTCAACCGTTGGCTGGGCATTACGTCATTTTTCTCTACCACCGGTAAAGCGATGGTTTGAGTACAAAGAGTTAATGCAAACGGGAAGATTATAAAATGTTCTCAAATGAATAAACGTCTCCTATTAGGCGTCTAACAGTATTTTTAACAAGTAAACTCTCAATGCGTGGATTGGGTTTAGCGCAAGTTTGGAATGTGGAGACGAGTCTGTTTATTTGCTTTTCATGTTGCATATTGGCAAAAACCCCACTTCACGTAAGTATGTTAGGAGAAATGGAAGGAGAACTTTCAGAGTAATTTGTATCAATTTTCGGGTCAATACCAGCCTTAGATTAATTTCCTTTTGAAATAACGGATTACAGCCACATCATGTTGTAACACTAGAATCCGTACGATCACCGAAGTTCAGCAACATCGAGCCTGGTCAGTACCTCGATGGGTGACAGCTTGGGAATTCTAGGTGTTATAAGCTTGATGCAGGTGGTATAATGGATAATGATACGGAATTTTTAATCGGAGAGCCGTGTTCTAATTTCAGTTGCTTTCGTTATACTCACTTACGTACAAATAGCCTGGGAAAAGGCATGAACCCACCTCTTCTCCCTTCAGTTATGAGTAAGACTTGTGTCAGTAAAACCATTATTATCTAAAAATAAATAAAAATGTTTATATTTTTGGCATTAAATAACCCATAGAGGTTGATATGCCGCTAAACAAAACCAACCAACCCATACGAGCGGCCAGCCATTATTTCTACAAGCAACACAGGTTTAAGGCCATATCACATTGATAAACTGGTTCTCGTACGATCATTGAAGTTAAGCAACGTCGAGACTGGTCCGTACCTAGATGGGTGACTGCTTGGGAACACCAGGTTCTGTAAGCTTGGATATGCGGTTTGTGTAACGGATAATGGTTCGAAATTATAAATTATTGTACTGAGTTTTAATTCCCGTCAGGTTCGTTATATACATTTCTTGGGAAAAGTATGAATCCACCTCTTTTCTCTGCCGGCTGTGGGTTAATTAGTAGGATTTGTGTCAGAAAATCAGTATTATCTCCAAAAATGGCTTTAAATCACCTGCAAAGTGTTGATAAACCGTAAAAATAGTAAAAAGATTTTGACAATAAAATGCTTTTTATCCAAGTGTTGAATATATAGGGAAAATTTCAGGCTATGCCTAAAATGTATTCATTCTTCTTTTATGTACCGTGTCCCTTCAGGACGTAGGCGATCATGGATCTCCACCTCCCCCTTTTCTTTGTAGTTCTCAATATGTTTTTTCCTTTTGCTACTTCTCCCATTCCCTGTTTTATCATCCACTTGCTTATGCCCGTTAGGTATGTCACGCGTTTCTTTCCCTTGTCTCTGGTTCCCTCAATTCGCCTTGTGAGTATCAGATTCTCCAAGCCGTATTTTATCATTACGTGTCTCAGAAATTTCAACTGCCACTATCTGACGTAATGTATAAGCTTCCTCCTTGTTTGCATCCTCATAGTTGTGCACATTTTCGATCCATGGTATGCTTAGCATCCTTCTGTAGAACCATACCTCCGTTGCCTCGAGTGTCTGCTTCATCTTTGATGAGACCGTGCAATATTCGCTGCCGTAAAGGAGGACAGATATCACGTAGAAGTTCAGTCCTCTTTCCTTCGTTGCCAATGAAATCCTCCTCTATCGTAATACTCTGTCTAGATTTTGGAATGCGTCTTTGGCCAACCTAATAAGTCGTCGGAACTCAGCACTTACCGTCGCAATTACTGTCCTCTGTCAGAACACTTCCCAGATATATCCATTTTTACGAAAATCTACGAAAACAACGCATAACCTACTTAGTGAGCTTCAGTAAATAGATAACGATACAAGGTTTAGAAATAAAAAATACATTTATAAAGACCTACGAAGAACAAAAAATTGTGGGAGCCATGATCGAGTACTTGCTGAAGTAACACGGCCTATAAAGAAGATGAAAGGTAATTACTCTAAACATTAGTCTATTAGATTTTCCATTGAATTACTCTGACGGGCTACATTCCCTGGTACCAGCAGTTCACAATTTCACAGCTAGATACACAGCGTCAATTTCTTCCTGCTAATTCATGGAACAGACGGTGACTCTTCGGTCGCTACAATCTTAACGTCTTCAGGTTTAGGGTCAACCGTTACCTATCCTACATATCCTCATAATCTACAATATTTACGTCCATAAAACAAGCCCATTCAGTAAACCTCTTCTTTAAGTGACTCTTGGGACTTGTATTGCGTGAACAATATTGAATATTCTTGCCGTATCTAGTCTGGTAATTCAGCTGTATTTCACGAGATTCTTGACAAAATTCAAGGACGAGTTTCTTATGTAATCGATCCTGATCAGGCATCTCGACTTCAGTCACTTTCTCACCGACGTAATGTCCCCCTCTGTCTTTTTTACAAATATTTTCATGCCAACTGTAACGATGACCTGCTTCTCCCGATGTCCTGACGACAACTTGCTACTAGATTGGCAACTAGGTGTCACCGTTTTACTGTTGAACTCACTAGATGCAACCGCCAATTCTACTCTAACAGTTACTTTTCTCGCACTTCTCACGTGTGGAACTCCCTTCCGATTTCTTGCTTCCCCGATAGCTAGACTCTTCAAAAATTTAAACACAACGTCAACTGCTATCACCTGTCTTCTTGAACCCTGTTCGATTTGTTATCCTTTCCTCAATCATCCCCACTAAAAATCTTCTCATTTTCTTTCGCTCCTAATAAATCCCTGCCTTCTCGAGACATTATCGCCTTGCTTGGGGTGTAACGATAAAAACAAAAAATCACATGCACATACTGGTGTAACCTAGGAAAGGTTACTGAATAGAATAATCAAACGAAGGTTGATAATGAACGATAATGGGACAAGTACAACACCTATAAGATTCGCCAGCGGCGCGTAGAAGTAGTCAACTGCTAGAAGTGATTCAAGTGAATTCCAATTCTTGGATATCTACCAACCGCCCCACGCGGTCAGATATGGCACAAGGCCGAATTTAATGTGGGGTATCCGTACCAGTAGGCTCAGCCAGAAATTCCCCGAAAACCCCGTAAAAAACGGGGTCGGGTAGCTGTTTCCCGAGACGAGACTCTGCCTTTTGACACAGCCTCGTCTGGGGATCCTCTCTGTTTCCAGACAGAGAGTTTGAACAGCCTGAGACGAATCTCGAACTGCAGACCAACATACAGTATTTACTACTGTATTTCTGTGAATGAGGACATACCTATTATCGAATCTCCAACCCTAGATCACGTACAGTATTCCCTACTGTATTTATGGTAATGGGCGCACACCCATTATCGTACGTAGGTATGCTCCAACACATACACACGCAGAAATTAAGGGAACTGCTTCATCATAGCTCATGGTTATCAAGTTTGTCTCATAGAATCGTGTTAAAGTTTTTGGTGTTACCTCCATCATTTTAGTAGAATTAAAAAAAACTGGATACATAATTATCGGACGGGACATTGAATGTTCTATTTCGAGAAAGACAAGTGCACCTCAGATGTTTGACTCATGAAATATTTTCGTCTATTTTATCTAGTTTTGCATCAGGCTAATTTGAGCTTAAAAAACATCAGTCAGCAGATGCATACGCCTAGTCCTAGATATAAAAAATATTTGAGCCTACGTTTAATCTCTCTCTCTCTTTATCTTTATCTATATATATATATATATATATATATATATATATATATATATATATATTTTTAAAAGTGTGTAGGTTGTTACAAGTATGTAAACAGAGAGATTCACAAACCTATTCACACTTTGTGCATACGTTAATCTATCTTCCAGCCGAGGTACAATTTGAAAGATAAGATAATAACGAAAGATGAATTCGCAGCAATGGATCAGTATAGAGCAGAGAAAAGCAGTATCTTATTTTTGAAAATCCATGAAATATGCTTAATAAAACATATAGTTGGACACTGAAAGTATCAGCATTCAGTATTTTTAGATTTATTATTTAATTGGTATTCAAGTAGGTGCCATCTTGCAAGACTTATTCAACCTTTACAGCGAGGCGATCCTGACAGTAATAGAAGTCCTGCGAGGAATTATAAATGTCAGATTTAATTTTAACATCATTAAATAAGCAGAAGACACAGGTACATAAAGGAGTCTGTCGGAACTCCTAGAAACGGCAATAATGCAAAATTGAGAAGAAAGGACTAAACATTAATTGTATGAAAATTTATGATTAAGAGGAACATCCCAAGATGTAAATTACGAATTGGTGGAGCCAAACTCAAACGAATGAGAAAATTCAAATATATGGTAAGTATTTTCACAGAGTATAAATATACACCGAAATCAGAAGGCGCATTTGAATGATGAAAGATGTCTTTCAAAGCTAAGCAAATTATTAAGAAACAGAACATTTTTACGTAACCTCAATGCTTCTCTATGGCAGGAAATAAGAAACAGAACATTTTTAAAAACAGAAAAACATGTGAATAAAATGGACGAAACATGTGAGTAACAAAGCCACTTTAAGTGAAATGGAAATAATAAGGACGCTTATATAGAGAGTTTAAATTTCGAGGACACATGATGAGCGAATGAGGCTTGGGTAGTTTGGCACTCATAGGACCCACGAAAGGCCAGCGCGATAGAAAGAAACAGCGAGTAATCCTATTAACACACTTGTGTAAAGAGATAACAAAAGAGGGAGTCAGAGAGAAAAGACAAATGTTACCAAAAGTTACAAAGGATAGGAAATGGTGGAGGGCCATGATCACCAACGTCTTGAAAGGACACAGAACATCGAAGAAGAATATATAAACCCGTTATAACCATATTTTTATTGATTGATTAATTGGTTTTCAGCGGCTTATCAACCCTTTGCCGGTTATTTAAAGCCAAAAAATATTTTTAGAATGTAAAAATTGTTTTTGTAGAGATAATAATGATTATTGATACAAGTCTTAATAATTAACCCATAGATGGTGGTAGAAGAGGTGGATTCATAACTTTCCCAGGGTTATTTGCGCGTATATAACGAACGCAACAGGAATTGGAACTCGGCTCTCCTATTGAACATCTACGAGCCATTATCCGTTACACCGTGTATTTATCACCTGCGCATCCAAGATTGCAACACCTGGTATTCCCAAGCGATCACCCATCTAGGTACTGACAACGCTCAATGTTGCTTAACTTCGGTGATCGTACGGGAAGCGGTTTTTCAACGTGATATGGCCAG